CCCTGGTGGTCCACTGGTTAGGACTCCGTGCTTTCACTGCTGGGGGCCCGGGTTTGATCCCTGGTCAGGGAACTAGGATCCCGCAAGCCAAGCAGCATGGCCCCCAAAAAAGGATTCTATCAGATGAATGTTCCACAATTTAATCGTTCTCCTGTTGATGTACCTTTTGGTTGTTTCCAGCTTGATTGACCGCTTGCTTTTATACGCAATGTTCAGTGTTCTGCATATGTATAAGGAGAGTTTCTCTAGAGAAGTGTTTTTCTTTCTTTTTTGGTGGGGGTGGGCTGGGGTGTGGCTTGTGGGATCTTAGTTCCCTGACCAGGGATCAAACCTGGGCCCTCGGCAGTGAAAGCTCAGAGTCCTAACCACTGGACTGCCGGGGAATTCCTGCGAAGTGTTTTTCAAACTGTGGGCTGCAACCAGCATAATTTAAAAGCAGAAAGAGAATGGAATAGAAGGTATTGGAATGGGATGGAGGAGAAGATATTAGTATAAGAGTAGTGCTTTGTAGAACTTTAGTTTGGGGGTAGGTGTGTACTAGATTTAAATGTAAGATGTATTTCTTACTTTGGGTCATGGGCAAAAAAAATTCAAACCTTCCCTTCAGGGCTGTGTGCACAACCTTAACCTGACTGTTACTGAATTGCTCTCCAAAGTGGTGATGCCACTTTACAGTCCTGAGTGTGGTATACCGGTGTCTGTGTTGTTCTCCGTTCTTCCCAAAAGTTTGTTTGGATGGACTTTAAAATTTTTGTCCATTGTTGAGTATGAAAGAGTATCTCATTGTGGTTTTAATTTGCCTTTTCCTGATGGCTAGTGAGGTTGACGTTAATCCCTTTTTTTTTAATACAGGAAAATTAATATACTTTATCTGCTAGATAGTAGATCAGTGTTGAAAATGGTAATAAGTGTAATCCTCAGTGGTATATTATAAATACATTTCCCTGAATAGTTGAAATATCTTGACTTGCTAATACTAATGATTGACAGTTGAGGGGCTTAAGTGGTTTAATTTTATGAGTTTTCTCTTTATACACTGTAATCTGTGCTCAGTTCTGTAAACCCAAATCTTTGAATTTGGCAAAATGACCTTATATTTGTATTCATACAAGACCATCAGTAGCCATTACTAGCAGCATCATTTTATTGATTTAAATATTAATATTAATTTTTATATATTTGTATAGATACCTGCCCAATATTTTTCTTTTAAAATATTATAATAAAAGTATATGCATGTGGTATTTAAGAATATAAAAGGATAAAAAAATTAGTCTTTCTTTTTTTTCCTCCATTTCTCTTCCCTAGGAACAGCTACTTTAAAAAGATTCATATATGACCTCTTCGATGTATATACTTTATTATTGTTCTCTTTTCTCTTTTTGTTTCTAATTTTGTTTCTCAAATGACATTCTAGTCATTGTTCTGTAGATGGCTTTTTCATCTACTTAATAATATATCTTAAAGATTTCTTATTTCAGCACATGAATTTTACCTTATTCCCGCATGCGTGCTGCAACTAAAAGATCCCCTGTGCCGCAACTAAGACCTGGCGCAGCCTAAATAAATAAATTTTTAAAAATTGAATCGATTTAAACTCCCAATAATGCTTCAGAATGAACCGGCCAGTATTTAATGTGAACTTGTAAAAGTGCTCACATTGTTCAGTATGTATGTAGTTGTAGTTTGAATAGATACTATTTTGTGGTTTCCAGCTAGATGATAGAATGTAGAATTTATGAACCTTTGTTTGCCTTTCTTCCTTTTACCTTAGAAAGCTAACAGACTTTAGCTTAATATAAAGCTAAATGAACTGTTAAATATTAGAATAATACATGCTTATCCAAAATCTTTCAGAATTTGTGAAAGCTGATATTTTAAAATTAGATATCAAATTAAGTTAGACTACTATTACTAAGTTAATTTACTACAAAAGAGTACTATCAACAGTCTTTTTTTTTTAAACATTAACTGCTCTCATTGATAGTCTTGAAATAGCAATTTACTGAGTTTCTCATTATAAAAGGTTTGTATACAGTGTTGGATACTGTTTTAATCAGTACTCTTTTATTTGCAAGGAACAGAAAACCAACATGTTCACTTAAGCAAAAGGGGAGTGGTTTTTGGTCTGTGTGACTGGGAAATTTGTTTTTTAAAAATAAATTTATTTATTTATTTATTGTCTGCATTGGGTCTTCGTTGCTGTGCGCGGGCTTTCTCTAGTTGCGGCGAGCGGGGGCTATTCTTCGTGCTGGTGCGTGGGCTTCTCACTGTGGTGGCTTTCTTGTTGCAGAACCTGGGCTGTAGGTGTGCGGGATTCAGTAGTTGTGGCACGTGGGCTCTCGAGTGCAGGCTCAGTAGTTGTGGTGCACAGGCCCAGTTGCCCTGCAGCATGTGGGATCTTCCTGGACCAGGGATCGAACCCGTGTCCCCTGCATTGGCAGGCGGATTCTTAACCATTGCGCCACCAGGGAAGTCCTGACTGGGAAATTTGAATGACAGGTTCTGTCAGTACTCGTGAGTTATCAATACTTATCTCCCATTTCTGCTTCTGTCTCTTGTCCTTATTCCCTTCTTCCACAAGGGAGGTAAAGGTGGGTTAGCCACATACAATACAGCCTCTGGCCACCTTCATGGAAAGAACGAGCTTCAGAGCACTTCTCACTCAGCATCTGAATATAAAATCCCAGGCAAGACTCTCACTGGCCTGCCTTGCCAGTAATCAAGAGGTGGAATACTGTGCTTGGGGGCCCCATCAGAATCACATGGTGTAGGAGAAGGGTAATTCTCTAAAGGGAATGATGCTAGCAAATGCTTCCAATAAAACAAACGTGCCAGATCTTTCTTTGGCATAAGAGGTGGGTGTTCAGCTATGGAGGTGGAATGGATACCATGAATAGGTAAATTGTAGGGTAACAAATGATTCAAAGAAGGCTACGAGAATTCAGAAGAGTTTGGCGGAGTTAGAATAGTTTTTTGGAGGAAATGGTACCAGAGTTAAATCTTAGGGTGGTGGTGTTATGTTCCACACCAGTTGGTTTCTTTCTTCGTAAGGTCACTTTTATTCATCTTTTTCTTCATTCCCACAGCCAGACTCTGAATCCAGGTCTTTATCTTCTGGATAGTTGCAGAAGATGCCCTGTGTCTGGTTTGTTCCCCCTGTCCTATTCATTGTATACACTGAAGCCAGAGAAGTCTTTCTGGAACATTCTTCTCATGTCCCTGCCCTGCTCAAAAAGTCTTCATTACTTCATTCAAAGCCATCAACCTACATTACTGCCAGAATAAAGTGCTGTACAAATGCCTACACCTAACATTTACGGATCCATGTTCTGATCCTAGAACTACTTTTCCAGCCTTTCCTTATGTAATCCTTTGCTTGGACTCTGTTTGACAGCATTTTGCATAAACAGCCGAGAGGAACATAGGGACTGTTTCTATAAGCAGGTTTGTCTCATTTGGTGACTTGTGTTTCTTCTCTTGCATTTGAGGGTATTCCTCTAGTGTCAGTCTTCCCTTTAATCCTTTTCTGCTTTCTCTCATTTATACTTATGCAAATGAGGCCCAAATAACTTCCAGAAGACAGTGAAATGGACTGGATTACTATCGTGATGCTTATTACTAGCATGGTGATTCTGTGATTTAATTGAATCTGTGAAAACTGCATCTTTGTAGTAGATGGATATTTGCTGAGATGGAGGAGGTTTCTTACGATGTAGGCTCACCAGCAAAGTCTGGCCCAGAGTGATCCCTTGGACTTTTTTCTGCAGAAACTAATGGATATAATCTTATTTGGAAAATCTTTCCAGTGAATGAACATGGGGGGGTGCATTGTATAAAAGATCTTGACCTTTTATATTCTTTAGCATACTTTCTTTTTCTGGTGCCCTGTACCCTTTTAGTTTGTACATGATGAGAGTTCACTAGATGTGAGGAGGGCACAGCAATGGGGAAGGGAGGAGGCAGTTAAGAGGTGACCAGCAACCCAAAACCATAGTTAATAAAACTTAGTTAATAAAACAATTGCACAAAAATAAATTTAATGTTAATTGAACTCACAAAAAGTCTGCTATTTAAAAGTACATTTCCTATTCTGTAAATATCATTGGAAAGTGTAATAATAATAATAATGCAGGCATGGGCATGGCAATTCTGGAGAAAATTGTTTCTTTCCATAAGTTACTTATTAATACCTCATAGACTTGTTCAGAGGATTAAATGAGATCTGCTTGCTTGTTATGAACTAAGGTCTCAAATGCTATATATTGATACATTTACATACATATATGTTCCTGGACTGTACATTTCATAAATTGGCGAACAGGCACGCCTCCTGTTGCTTAATTTACAGCTAAAAATTATAATCTGTTGTCTCTTTCCTGAGTGAGCCGCGCTCCCCGTTTTGCTCCCAGTGTTGGAACCCTGCTTCTCTTCTCTCCTCCTTACTCCTGCTTCCTTTCTGTCTCAGCCCTAACCTTGTGCTTCACTGTGGAGCTCCCCATTACATGGCTCTCAGGAAGAGCTGGCCAAGGAAAGGGTGCGCTGCACCAGAGAACTTCCTGTCTGATTGCTGAGAGGCATTTCTTAGTGCAGCTGGCACCATGTGAGATCTGTTACGCCTGTTCTCTTCTTTGGAGATGTCTTTTTCTCATTTATGTTCTTGTCAGATCTTTCACAAATGCACTGTTATTTTTTATCATGGTTACCTGTAAACCAGTTAACCCCTCTAGGTAATTGAGAACTGATTATAATTGTAATTTTTTTTTTTACTTCTGGTTTGTGATATAATGGGAAAACTTTAAATTTAGATTTTCTATAGACTTAAAGATTAGAGCTAAATCATTGCTTCTTGGTATTATTTTAACTTGACAGTTTATTAGAAAAATAGAAGTATGCTTATCTCTTTTGGGGGGTATATGTCCAAATAGGAAAACCCGGAAAATCCTTAGTTTGTAGAAATGATGTATTGATCTGTAATTATACCATTTCTTTATTTACAGGTAGGCGAAAACCGAGAGTACATCGGCCTCGTTCTCCAATATTGGAAGAAAAAGACATCCCACCCCTTGAATTTCCCAAGTCCTCTGAGGATTTAATGGTGCCTAACGAGCATATAATGAATGTTATTGCCATTTATGAGGTACTGCGGAACTTTGGTACAGTTTTAAGGTTATCTCCTTTTCGCTTTGAGGACTTTTGTGCAGCTCTGGTGAGTCAAGAGCAGTGCACACTTATGGCGGAGATGCACGTAGTGCTTTTGAAAGCAGTTTTGCGTGAAGAAGACACTTCCAATACTACCTTTGGACCTGCCGATCTGAAAGATAGCGTGAATTCCACGCTATATTTCATCGATGGCATGACGTGGCCAGAGGTGCTGCGGGTGTACTGTGAGAGCGACAAGGAGTACCATCATGTCCTTCCTTACCAAGAAGCAGAGGACTATCCTTATGGACCAGTAGAGAACAAAATCAAAGTTCTGCAGTTCTTAGTCGATCAGTTTCTTACCACAAACATTGCTCGTGAGGAGTTGATGTCTGAAGGGGTGATCCAGTACGATGACCACTGTAGGGTTTGTCACAAACTCGGGGATTTGCTTTGCTGTGAGACCTGCTCAGCAGTGTACCATTTGGAATGTGTGAAGCCGCCTCTCGAGGAGGTGCCAGAGGATGAGTGGCAGTGTGAAGTCTGTGTAGCACATAAGGTTCCTGGTGTGACTGACTGCGTTGCTGAAATCCAAAAAAACAAACCATATATTCGACATGAACCTATTGGATATGACAGAAGTCGGAGGAAATACTGGTTCTTAAACCGAAGACTCATAATGTGAGTAAATCTGGTCTTAAATTTTTGTATGTATTTAAAATTAAGCCAACTTCCTTCATGATTGATGTAGAGCTGTGCTGCTTATGTGATGTAAACCTTGGTGATTTAATAATGAGTTGTACAGTTTAATAATTTCTAACTTGAAAGAATATGTACATTAAAACAGTTTTTAAAATTGTAAGGAAAGAAGGGTGTATGAAAAAAAGCAAAATACACACCATTGTACTCAATGCCTAGGATGGAAAGCAGAACGTTACTTACTAGGTGGGATGCCACATGCCATTGTGGGCCCTTCCCCCGTTAGATTCCCTGCAGCCCACCATGAGGTAATCTGCATCCTAACTTTGGTGTTAGGATTTTCTTGCTTCTCTTTTTAGTTTTACTATATTTGTATATAAAATGGAGCAGCAAGAACAAGGAAACTGTCTAAGGAAAGATCAGTGCTGCCGTGATTGGTTGCAGCCTCCCAGGAGAAGCCCAACCTGAGGGTTTTCACGAGATTCTTCCGGGCAGGACAGTGGGAAGGGCGGGAGGAAGTCTGGGGAAGTGAGGGTGCTTGGCAGGGTTGTAGTGTGGACTTGGTTTTGGACATCCTGTAGAAGTATGGTCAGAGGGAGTGGGTTACTTTGTATTTTCAGCTTCTAAAGCTTTTCTTTTTAAAATATTTTATTTATTCATTCATTCATTTGTTTATTTATTTATTTTCTTTTGGCTGCGCTGTGTGACATGTGGGATCTTAGTTCCCCGACTAGGGATCGAACACCCTGTACGCCCTGCAGTGGAAGCGCGGTGTCTTGACCACTGGACCACCAGGGAGGTCCTCAGCTTCTAAAGTTTTCAAAGCCTTCTTCAAGCTCTCAGAATTAGGTCAAATCAGAAAATTTGTGGTGAGATGAAATGAAAGAGCAGGCGTGGAGAGGAGAGAAGGAACTTCATCAGCACATGGTCAGGCCAAGCCAGGTACAGAGAAGTATCTTAGCCAGGTCCACCCTTAGTTTTTAAAGATGGTACAGAATAAACAGCGAATTTCAGAATTTTGTACAGTTGTCTTCTTGTAGTGTTGCTGTTGAGAAATCTGAATCCATTCATTGATTCTTTGTATATAACCACTTTGGACTTACCTGGAAACTTGTAGAATCTTCTCTTTGCCTTTGGTGTTTTCTGCAGTTTTCGAGTGATAGGGCCTTGTGTGGGTCTGTTTTCATCCTTTGTGTGTGTGGTGGGCACTTGGAATCTGACAGTTGAGTCAGTTCTGAGAACTTCCCTTGAGGACTTCTTCCTCTCCTTTTGCCTGTTGTATTTATCTTGAACTATTACTTTATTGAATGTTGGGCTTCCTATTTTGGTCTTCTGATTTTATCTTTTCACTCCAGTTTTCCTCTTTGTCTTTGTCCTCTTTGGAATGTGCGTGCACGTGCGCGCACGCGCGCGTGTGTGTGCGTGTGTGTGCGTGTGTGTTACTCAATTTTTCTAGATTTCCTTATCTTAGTCTTTAAGCCCTACTATTTATTTTTTCTATTCTATCACATTTTTATTTTCTAAGAGCTCTTTTGTTTTTAAAATCATCCTCCTTTTTAAAAAATAAAATAAAATCTTAGTTTTCTATTTTCTGGAAATAATAATTTCTCTTACTTTCGAGGATGTTATTGATAGTTTTTTCATGTGTTTTTCCCCACAGTGAATGGTGTGTTTCTTCCAGGCTGCTTCTTCCTGCTGTGTGTATTGGTCTGTCTCTTCCATCCTCAGATGTCTATTAATCCTTAATTTTCTACTCCTGATTAGCACTGCGGGTTTATACAGCTGATTGGAAGTTCTGAGCAAGTGTGTAGGCCATATCAATTTTGAGCTTAATCGTTGGGTGATTTTCTTAATCTTTTTTCTTGGTGGTCCCTGATGTCACTCACTATCATTAGTCCTTCCTTCTGAGCTGGTCAGGTGACCCAGAGAGGCCTTCTCTGGTGTTCTGCTTGGAGCATGAAGGTTTGGCTGGCTGGGTGGTGGAGGCGGGCTGCATTTACCATGCACACCGCATTTACTTTGTACATAGCCACTCAGTACCTTGGTTTTCTGTACAGTACCTTTGTTCACACCTGCGCCTGGTGTCCCCTGGTCCAGAGAACCTCACTTTTACCTCCTGTAGAGACTAAACCTTTAGTGGCTTGAAGTGGATAGATAGGTGGCCTTGGGATCTGCTCCTAAAACAGCTTACAAGCGCTTCTCTGCTGTCAATACTCCCCTCCTCATTTTGGTGATTGTTGGTTCTCAGCTCCACCCTTTATGTTTCGGATTGGGCTTTCTTGGCTCTGGTTAAAGGCGGTTATCACTTGTCCATTTGCTTTCCTGCTTCCAAAAATTTTTTTGTTGTCTCTCTTATTTTCTCTAATCTTGTAAGTTTAAATCTTTAAAAATATTTCTTTAGTGGTTTTAAGAGGGTTTCAAGAGGGAGCAAACTGAGATGTGTGGATTCAGTCTACTACCTTAATCCAGAAACTGATATGAGAAACAGTATATGAAGTTTTAAAAGTTTTAAATATACAAAGTATATTTTGTGTGTTTTGGTTTGGATCAGTTATTTTAAAATTTTGTATAATTTTTTTTTTTTTTGCCCCCGTATCTCCCAAATATCTGGTTGTGGTGTTTATTGTGCCACCTTTCTCATATCATGCTATGGAGATGTAGCATGGAAACTTGTACTGGCGAGGTCAGTACAAATGGAAAGATAACTGTAACCATATTTTGGTTTGAAGTTTAATGCAGTCTTTCATTCTATGTGAAAAGTCAGTGAGACTGCCTTTCAGGGAGCCTGGTGCTTGTACTCTCTAGATGTTCAGCACAGCAGTTTACAGACCCTATCCACTCAGTCTCATGTGCCTTCCCGGAAGGTCTCAGAGCCATCAGGATTGCTGTGAACAAATCAGGAAGTAAATGAAATTTATTCTGTGCTCCTGTTCTCCCATTCTTATGTTCCCTTCCCTATCCTGCCTTTCTTCACCCTTTTTGGATGTTCATTCTCACTGCCTCTCACTTCCTTCCCTGTGCTGCTGTTTTGGGCCCCAGACATGCCAAAGGTGCTTTGTCCACATATAGGTAGGCCTTGACATCTGTAATGTAAGGCTTATCACACAATAATCAGTGGTGTAGGCCTTGGTGTTAGGGACCTATAGGTGGAACTAGTTGCTGATGGGTTAGTAATAACAATAGCCAACATCAACATTTATTCAGCACTTAATATATGCTGTACAGTTTTTTTGTTTGTTTGTTTTTTGCTTTTTGCGTATTATATTTACGTAGAAAAAAAGGAAGTTAAAATTTCAACAGCTTTTTTTTTTTTAAACAAAAAGTATATCCCCAGCCAGGAAAATGGGTAAATCTAGAGAGATCCTCAAGGAGTCTATTAAACTGTCAACTTGCCCTACGGACAGTAACAGATTTAATTTATCATTGGATTGAAAACTTCATTTTTATATAACCTAAATAGTAAATTTGCCTTTTCTCTGAAAATTTTATACACAATTTTATAACCTTCAAAAATGACAATAAAATCAAATTATGTTTATAAATTTTTGTTATTTCAGTATATAAGAACCTTTTTCTTTCTTTTTGACATTTACGGTTTCACAATATATATCTTAAATTTGTATGTTTACTTTTTTTTTTTTTTTGTCTTTATCCAGGTCATTTATTACTAGACAGTTGTCATACAGAGTGGTTAAATATTAAAGCTCTGAAACTAGCCCTGGTTTGCATTCCTGGCCTCGTTAATTACAAGTTCTGTGTCATATTAAAGCACCTACAACCCTTCTAAGCCTGATTATTTTCACCTATAAAATGAGAATTGTCATTGCTTCATGAATTGTGAATGCTTGTATGTTTATTTATTTATAAAATTTATTTATTTGTTTATTTATTTTTGGCCGCGTTGGGTCTTTGTTGCTGCATGCGGGCTTTCTCTAGTTGCGGGGAGTGGGCGCTACTCTTTTTTGCGGTGCGCAGGCTTCTCATTGTGGTGGCTTCTCTTGTTGCAGAGCGCGGGCTCTAGGCGCGTGGGCCTCAGCAGCTGTGGCAGGTGGGCTTAGCAGCTGTGGCTCGTGGGCTCCAGAGCGCAGGCTCAGCAGTTGTGGCACACAGGCCCAGTTGCTCCACGGCATGTGGGATCCTCCTGGACCAGGGCTTGAGCCCGTGTCCCCCTGCATTGGCACACGGATTCCCAACCACTGTGCCACCAGGGAAGCCCCTGTATGTTTACATTAGTAATCAAGACACTATTTGTGAAGTATACCTAGTATTTTTATTATTCTGTTATTTACTTTAACAGCTTTATTGAGTTGGGGTTTTTTTTGTTTTTTTGTTTTTGGTCGTGCTGTGCTGCTTGTGGGATCAAACCTGTGCCCCCTGCAGTGGAAGCACAGGGTCCTAACCCCTGGACCACCAGGGAATTCCCTGAGCTGTTTATTAATTTATGTATTATAAAATTCTATTGTTGTAGATGTACAATTCTATAATTTTAGTAAATTAGCACTGAAAGTCCCACATCCCAGGAAACATTTTCTTCTAAGACAAATCCAAGTGGTTGGTTACTCCACATTTCAGTCATTCTGAAAGTGGTCTCATATCTGTTTACAGTTAATCTTACTCTCATTCTCAGCCTTAGAAAAATCACTCTGTTGTTTGTGTAAATTTGCCTTTTCTAAACATTTCATGTAAAAAGAAACATATAATAATTTTATTTTGTATCTCAGTTCTTTCACTTAGAATAATGTGTGCCTTACAGTTTTCTAATAAGCATTTTGTATATACATTTTTTTCATTAACCCTCACAACAACCCAGTAATGTGGGTACTATTTTTGTACATTTTATAGATGAAGAACTAAACTCAGAGAAGTTAAATAACTTGCTCTAGGACTTGCCCAAGACTCTATGGCTATTAGGAAGTAGGACCTAGAATTTTTTTTTCAGGACCTATTTGTAAGAATATTCTCTTTTCTTGTTTCTTCTTTTC